GACTGATTAGGTTGTCTTTTCAGATTTCTGCAATACAGAGCAATACAATTGTCTGACTCAACAGTTTCTCACACCCATACCTACATAACCCAGTAAAGGGCTTCCTGGTTTGTTTTAACTAGAGAAACAAAAATGTAACCTTGAAAGTAATTTCTGTTTCAACCACTTTCTTTATGATAATGCTATCAAATGTATGGTGATTTCTATTGTACATTATTTGGGTAATAGTGATATTTACCATGTTCATGATGGTAGTGGTTGTTGTGTTCATGATGATGGTGGGATGTTACGTTCATAATGGCAATGGTGGTCATGTTCACAATGATGGGACAGATTAACCGTGAATATGATGGTCCTAACAAGCTCATACGAGATCTGAAAGTCCTCTCACACCACGTCATGGCAAGGGCCCTGATTCTGATCTGTTTGGCTCTAGTTCTCGCTTAATATTAACAATTCTAATTTCTTCTAATCTCCAGGCTCCATAGACATCAGCCTGGCTCAGTTGGTAGCATTCTCACTTCTGAGTCAGAAAGTTGTGTTCAAGCCCCATATCAAAACTCTGAGCTAATAGACTAGGATGATGCTCCAATGAAGTGCTAAAAGCATTAACACCTCATGCAGTTCACTTAGTTCTGTTCGACCCTGAGCTGTCCTTTCTTCCCCACATCCGCGCCACAACTGGCACCGCCTTTCACCACCTCCGGAACATCGCCAGACTACGGCACTACCTCACCCCTCACGCGGCTGAAACACTGGTCCAGGCCTTTATCACCTCAAGGCTGGACTATGGGAACTCTCTCCTCGCCGGCCTTCCCGCCACCTCCCTCCACAAGCTGCAGGTCATTCAGAACGCTGCAGCTCGTATACTGTCCCGCACCAGGCTTCGGGACTTCATCACTCCCACCCTCGCTCACCTCCACTGGCTCCCCATCCCCCAGAGGATCGAATTCAAGATCCTCATCCTCACCTACAAGGCCATTCACGGCCTTGCTCCCTCCTACCTCTCCGACCTACTATCCCCCTACCTACCTGCCCGTACCCTCTGTTCCTCTGGCTCTGGTCTGCTCCACATCCCTCGTCCTAACCGCCCTACCATCGGTGGCCGGGCTTTCAGCCTCTCAGCCCCTCGGCTCTGGAACTCTATCCCCCAGTGCCTTCGCCGCCTCCTCCCTTTCCTCCTTCAAGGCCGGTCTCAAGACCTTTCTTTTCAACCATGCCTTCACCTCCCCTCTTGACTGTCTACCCCCTCCTCGCTCCCTCTTCCCTCCCCTCACCCTGACCATTTCCCCCCTGCTCGGGTCCCAACCCAACTGTTCAACGCCTTGCGACGTCCTCCCGACGTGAAAGGCGCTCTATAAATGAAATCTTGTTGTTGTTGTAGTTAAAATCAAGATCTCGTCTGCCGTTCAGGTGGACATAGATCCTATGACACCAATTGAAAAGAGAAGGTAGTTTTGCCCGTTGCCCTGCCCGATAATCCCCCAAATAAAACCGATCAGTCGCCTCGTGGCTGTTTGTGGGACATTATTATCCTCAAATTAGTTGCAAATACACAGTCGTTACACTTTACAATAAAGTGAAGTGATATTTAAATGACATGATTTTGCACTATATCAAAAGAATTTTGACCCATTCAACTCTGCTTTTACCTTTCATTTTCCAGGAGTCAATCTTCATTTCACAGCACTTGAGATTCTCCTTCAGGCTTTCCTAAAAACATTTTTGTTGTCCATTGTGAGAGTGTATTCTTCGCTTCAGCTCTGAGAACAATCTTGGGACATCTGTCATCTCACATTCTCTGCACATGTTCTTCCAATCTCATTGTGCCTTTCACCAGCATGCCTTGAATCCCAGATATTCTTGTAGTAGATAAAACATCAGTGTAAGGAATGTGAGAATAGCGAGAAGGTACCTCACGCAAAATGTTTCTAGGCTCCCTAATGTGCTTAGGATAATCTTGCCTCACCCTGTAGCTGAGTCTAAACTAAGGTGGTCTTCAATGTTGGTAGTCATGGACTATAGAAATATATGACTGGATTCCTGTCTGTGCAATGTGATGGGCTGGTGTTGAAGAATGGAAATGGAAGATGAAGGCTAACAAAAGTTTCAGGTGAGTTTGGGCTCTACTATTATCTAGTGGATTTCATAACATATTTTAACCTTGTTCCTTAAGTGAATAATGGAACAATACTGATACATATATGTGTGGTTTGGCATATTAGTCCTGTTGATTTTTAGATACCTACATGTATGTGGTATAAGTTTGGGGTCTTTGTATAAATGTATATGTATTACTGCTTGTGTATATATATGCATGTCTATATGTGTAATGCTTATGTGGACATCCGTATAGTATTTTCAGCTTATGTGTTTCAAAGCGCTTAACATAGCTGGGCACCTGAGTTGGGGATGGGAGCCAAGGGGAGTGGGCAGGGGAAAGATGACCAAAGAGCAGTCAAATAGATACATTTTGAGATGAGCTTTAATTGGAGGGAGGGAGCACTTCAGATGGATTCCAGGATGGAGTTCCAGAGAGCCTGAGTGGAAAGGCTAAAAGCTCAGCTGCCACTAGTAGTAGATAGACTGGGGTACATGCAATGGTGGTGGGGGGTGGGGGGGTGCTATGGACACCACCTTCAAAACCCAGGAATAAAGATCTTGAATTTAGTGTTGGTGTACATATATGTGTATTTGCATGGTGTTTAGTGTACATGTATATGGGTATTTGCATAGTGCTGATGTAATAATAGTAATAATGTTGATATAATCAATAATAATAATAATAACACTATGTAAATACATATTTGAAATGAATATGTATGAAGTGAATAAGCAGTTTTATCTGGGGAATTGTTGGCCAAAACATTGAGAGAAACACACTCCTCATTTTGAATTGCGCTATGAGATCTTGAACATATGTGTATTTACGTGTTAGTGTTCATGTATATTTTTTATATATTATACATGAATTTTAAAATCTGAAAGTATATTTTCTGCATTTCACCCACAAAATATGCAGTATATTCTGTGAAGCGCTTTGAGACATCTCGAAGACATGATAAGGGTCTAAATTAAATGCAAGGATTATTATTATATTTGCATAGTGTTGGTGTACATGTAAATTTGCAGTGTTGGTGAGCGTGTGTGTGTGTTTACTGTTTTGGTGTACATGTGTGTATGTGTGCTGCGCTGGTGTACATGTGTATGCATGTGCGTGTTTGCTATGTTGGTGTACACGTGTGTGTTGGTGTACATATCTGTGTGTATGTGTGTGTGTCTCTGTGTGTGCTGGTGTGTGTGTGTGTGTGTGCTGGTGTATGTGTGTGTGTGTGTGCTGGTGTACATGTGGGTGTGTGTTGCTGGTGTACATGTGTGTGTGTGTGGTGTACATGTGTGTGTGTGTTGGTGCATGTGTGTGTGTGTGTGTTGGTGTACGTGTGTACATGTGTGTGTGTTGGTGTACATGTGTGTGTGGGGGGTTGGTGTACATGTGTGTGTGTGTCTGGTGTATATGTGTGGTGTACATGTGTGTGCGTGGTGTACCTGTGTGTGTGTGTGTGTGCTGGTGTGTGTGTGTGTTTGTGTGTGTGTGTGTTTGTGTGCGTGTGTGTGTGCTGGTGTGTGTGTGTGTTTGTGTGTGTGTGTGTTTGTGTGTGTGTGTGTGCGTGTGTGTGTGTGTGCGTGTGTGCTGGTGTGTGTGTGTGCTGGTGGGTGTGTGTGTGGGTGTGTGTGTGTGCTGGTGGGTGTGTGTGTGCTGGTGTGGGTGTGGGTGTGCTTGTGTGTGTGTATGTGTGTGTGTGCTGGTGTGTGTTTGTGTGTGTGTGGGTGTGTGTGCTGGTGTGTGGGTGGGTGTATGTGGGTGTGTGTGTGTGCTGGTGTGTGTGTGGGTGTGTGCTGTTGTGTGTGTGTGTGGGTGTGTGTGTGTGCTGTTGTGTGTGTGTGGGTGTGTGTGTGTGTTGTGTGTGTGTGTGTGTGTGTGTGCGAGGGCTGTGGGTGTGTGTGTGTGTTGTGTGTTGTGTGGTGTGTGTGGTGTGTGTGGGTGTGTGTGTGTGTGTGTGTGGGTGTGTGTGTGTATGTGTGTGCTGTTGTGTGTGTGTGTGTGGCTCAGTGTGAGGGAGGCAGTGCAGTGCTGTACGGTGTGGGGCAGTGAGAGGCAGGGCTGGCAGTGAGGGGCAGGGCTGGCAGTGAGGGGCAGGGCTGGCAGTGAGGGGCAGGGCTGGCAGTGAGGGGCAGGGCTGGCAGTGAGGGGCAGGGCTGGCAGTGAGGGGCAGGGCTGGCAGTGAGGGGCAGGGCTGGCAGTGAGGGGCAGGGCTGGCAGTGAGGGGCAGGGCTGGCAGTGAGGGGCAGGGCTGGCAGTGAGGGGCAGGGCTGGCAGTGAGGGGCAGGGCTGGCAGTGAGGGGCAGGGCTGGCAGTGAGGGGCAGGGCTGGCAGTGAGGGGCAGGGCTGGCAGTGAGGGCAGGGCTGGCAGTGAGGGGCAGGGCTGGCAGTGAGGGGCAGGGCTGGCAGTGAGGGGCAGGGCTGGCAGTGAGGGGCAGGGCTGGCAGTGAGGGGCAGGGCTGGCAGTGAGGGCAGTGGCTGGCAGTGAGGGGCAGGGCTGGCAGTGAGGGCAGGGCTGGCAGTGAGGGGGCAGGGCTGGCAGTGAGGGGCAGGGCTGGCAGTGAGGGGCAGGGCTGGCAGTGAGGGGCAGGGCTGGCAGTGAGGGGCAGGGCTGGCAGTGAGGGGCTGCTGAGTGCTGTGCAGAGCTGTACGGTGGAGGGCAGTGAGAGGCAGTGAGGAGCAGTGCAGTGCTGACAGGGCTGTGGCGGAGCTGCACTGTGTAGGACAGGGCTGGCAGTGACTGGCAGGTGCAGGGCAGGGCTGGCAGTGTCGGTGCAGGGCAGTGACTGGCAGGTGCAGGGCAGGGCTGGCAGTGTGTGGTGCCGGGCAGGGCAGGGCTGGCAGTGTGTGGTGCAGGGCAGGGCTGGCAGTGTCGGTGCAGGGCAGTGACTGACAGGGCAGTGACTGACGGGGCAGTGTCGGGGCTGTGGTTTGAGAAGCGGTTCCGCGGCGATGGCGGAAAACATCAAAACCGGAATCTTCGCAAAAAACGTTCAGAAACGGCTGAGCCGCGCCCAGGAAAAGGTGAGGAGCCGCCGCCCCCCCACAGCCCCCCCCGGGACCCCCACACACCCACACCCACACCCCCACACCCACACCCCCCCACAGCCCCCCCCCGGGCCCCCACACCCACACCCCCCCCCACCCGGGCCCCTCAACACCCACCCCCCCCCACCCGGGCCCCCTCAACACCCACCCCCCCCCACAGCCCCCCCACCCCCCCACCCGGGCCCCCTCAACACCCACACCCCCCCACCCGGGCCCCCTCAACACCCACACCCCCCCACACCCCACCCCACAGCCCCCCCGGGCCCCCACACCCCCCACACCCACACACCCCCCCCCGGGCCCCCACACCCACACACCCCCACCCCCGGGCCCCCCACAGCCCCCCCCCCACCCCACCCCGGGCCCCCACACACCCCCACACCCCCCACAGCCCCCCCGGGACCCCACACCCCCCCCTCCCCTCGGGGCCCCACACCCCCCCCCCGGGCCCCCCACACCCACACCCCCCCCCCCCGGGCCCCCACACCCACACCCCCACCCCCCCCTCGCCCCCCCCCCCGGGCCCCGGTCGGGTGGTGTCTGACCGCCGCGGGAGAAGCTGAGAGCCGCCGCGGGTTTGTTTGCGGTGACGAGGTTCACACTGAACGGAGCTTCAGCACCAACACAGAGGGACAGCGGCCATCAGGGCACTGAGGGGCAGGAGGGCACTGAGGGGCAGGAGGGCACTGAGGGGCAGGAGGGCACTGAGGGGCAGGAGGGCACTGAGGGGCAGGAGGGCACTGAGGGGCAGGAGGGCACTGAGGGGCAGGAGGGCACTGAGGGGCAGGAGGGCACTGAGGGGCAGGAGGGCACTGAGGGGCAGCAGGGCACTGAGGGGCAGGAGGGCACTGAGGGGCAGCAGGGCACTGAGGGGCAGGAGGGCACTGAGGGGCAGGAGGGCACTGAGGGGCAGGAGGGCACTGAGGGGCAGGAGGGCACTGAGGGGCAGGAGGGCACTGAGGGGCAGGAGGGCACTGAGGGGCAGGAGGGCACTGAGGGGCAGGGGGGCACTGAGGGGCAGCGGGGCAGCGATGGGCTCAGGAGTGTGGCGCTTGGGAGTGAGGGGCTCCGCGAGTGAGCGGCTCGGAAGTGACACCTCCGCGAGTGTGGGGCTCTGGGAGTGAGGGGCTCCGGAGTGAGGGGCTCCGGGATTGAGGGGCTCTGGTAGTGTGGGGCTCCGCGAGTGAGGGGCTCCGCGAGTGAGGGGCTCCGGGAGTGAGGGGCTCCGGGAGTGAGGGGCTCCGGGAGTGAGGGGCTCCGGGAGTGTGGGGCTCCGGGAGTGAGGGGCTCCAGGAGTGAGGCCTCTGCGAGTGAGAGGCTCCGGGAGTGAGGCCTCTGCGAGTGAGGGGCTCCGGGAGTGAGGGCTCCGGGAGTGAGGGGCTCCGGGAGTGAGGGGCTCCGGGAGTGAGGGGCTCCGGGAGTGAGGGACTGGGTTTGTTTTATCATCAATGTCCATAAGGTCTGTCAGGGATACCGTGTTCCCACAAACACCGCTCCCTCTCCCCCCCCCGTCTCTCCCCCCCTCCCTCTGTCTCCCCCTCCCCCTCTCCCCCACTCCTTCTCCCCCCCCCGGGTGGGGGTGCACTATGGCTCCCCCTGTCCCCCCCCTGTCTCCCCCCCCCCGGGTGGGGGTGCACTATGGCTCCCCCTGTCCCCCCCTGTCCCCCCCCCCGGGTGGGGGTGCACTATGGCTCCCCCTGTCCCCCCCTGTCCCCCCCCCGGGTGGGGGTGCACTATGGCTCCCCCTGTCCCCCCCTGTCTCCCCCCCCGGGTGGGGTGCACTATGGCTCCCCCTGTCCCCCCCTGTCTCCCCCCCCGGGTGGGGGTGCACTATGGCTCCCCCTGTCCCCCCCTGTCCCCCCCCGGGTGGGGTGCACTATGGCTCCCCCTGTCCCCCCCTGTCTCCCCCCCCCGGGTGGGGGTGCAGTATGACAGTGGGTGCAATCTGATCGCATGTTGCCATTTGCAAGGATCGGATCAGTGATGAGCAGAGAGAGGCCGCCCCGCAGCCGAGCAGCCGAGCAGCTGGCGATTCATACCCCCCCACACACACACACACACACACAGAGACAGACTCTCCCCTCCCCCCCCCCACACACACACACACACACACAGGGAGACTCTGCCCCTCCCACACACACACACACACACAGGGAGACTCTGCCCCCCCCCCCCCACACACACACACACACAGAGGGAGACTCCCCCCCCCCCCACCCCCCCACACACACACACAGAGGGAGACTCTGCCCCCCCCCCCCCCCCACACACACACACACACAGAGGGAGACTCCCCCCCCCCACACACACACACACACAGAGGGAGACTCTGCCCCTCCCCCCCCCCCCCCCCCCCCCCCACACACACACACAGGGAGACTCTGCCCCCCCCTCCACACACACACACACAGGGAGACTCTGCCCCTCCCCCCCCCACACACACACAGAGGGAGACTCCCCCCCACCCCCCCCCCCCACACACACACACACACAGAGGGAGACTCCCCCCCCCCCCCCACACACACACAGAGGGAGACTCTGCTCCCCACCCCCCCACCCCCCCCTCCCCCCACACACACACACACACAGAGGGAGACTCTGCTCTCCCCCCCCCCACCCCACACACACACACACAGAGGGAGACTCTGCCCTCCCCCCCCCACACACACAGAGACACTGCCCCCCCCCCCCACACACACACACACAGAGACACTGCCCCCCCCCCCCACAGAGAGAGAGAGAGAGACACTGCCCTTCCCCCACAGAGAGAGAGAGACTCTACCCCCCCCCCCCCCACAGAGAGAGAGAGACTCTGCCCCCCTCCCCTCCCCCCACACATCATTGCAAGCATTAACATTGAATTCGTCAGTGGATCCTCACAAAGTCAGAAGCTGTGTGTGTGTGGGGGGGTGGGGGGATGGGGGAATTTTTTTAATATAAACTCCTGTAAAATAACAACAGAACAACGCTTTACATGTAGCGCTGAGTATCACCCAATATCAGCTGGTTTTTGTGGGTTGGGGGGGTTTGGGTGTAGTTGTGGGTGGGGGGGGATGGTCGGGGTGGGGGTTGGGATGAGTGGGGGGTGGACAATGGATTTGAGTCCAGCAATGCTCACACAGTGCAGAAAATACTGGTCAGGATTAAACCCACAGCGAATCGGCACTGAATTTGCAAGGCACTGGGATGAACTATTCCCTAGGATTTGCTGACGATCATGCCAGGAGGTTGCATTTGATCTTCACCATCTTTCCCCGCCCCCACCTCCCCCCCCTCTCCCCGCCAGCACAGCCCGGCGCTTTGATGCGGACAAGTGTTTTATAGTGCCGGGTCCCTGATATGAGCTGAACTCCTGTAATAATAATTTAATAATAATCATTCGGTCACTTCAATCCACCACTGTTTGTGGGACATTGCTGTGCGCAATTGGCTACTGCCTTTCTCCCACAAAATACAGTCACTTTACAGTACATTCTTTGAGGCACTCAATGACGTGATAAGGCGCTACATCAACAACAACAAATTACATTTGTATAGTGCCTTTCACGTCAGGAGGACATCCCAAGGTGCTGGACAGTTAGGGTTTCACATCCTCAAATGCAAGGATAATTATTATTATTAGATATAGCGCCTTATCGCATTGTTGAGATGTCTCAAAGCTCTTCACAGAATATATTGTAAAGTAATGCAATTTTGTGGGCGAAATGCAGAAATATTTTGTAATATTTTTAAAAATATGTATAATATATATTTAAAAATACACAAAGACAGATCAAACCAATCCTGGCCCAGATTAGTTTGGTCTGTGTGTCTTGAGGGGCCAAAGAATCAAAATCTCTGTGATACCCTCATGGCTTCAGAACGAATGTGTTTGGATCAACCCGGGTGTGCTTGTGTTTGTTTCCTCCGGCAGCAAATACTGTGTAGTTTGTGTCAACCAGTAAAGCCTGAGATTCCCATAAGCAGTAAATGTATTACAGAAAACAGAGACAGAAATCCTGCTCTGTCCTCATCCCCATCCCCGCCCCCACATGCTGCAATAAGAGGATTTAATTTCCTTTAATATCTCCCCACACTCATCTGTCGTAATGGAGTATCTCGTTTTATTCCCTGTAGCTGAATGCTGGAAGATTCCTCTCTCCTCCACCCCCCTCCTCCATGCAAACATAAGAATTAGGAAGGTAGAGCTGCTTGGTTTATAAACGGTTGCAAAAAATAAAGGGCTGGTTTGTGACCTGCAATCCAGGTAGTGAACAGTATTTATAAGAGGTGTTGGTCCAATGCAGTGTGAGGCAATGGGGAGGAACTCATTAACCTCTTCCATTGCTATTGATTGGACCAAGGCAGCAACTCAAGGGTACAGGCCGCTGCTTCTATCAGCAGACTTATAAATTTCTGCTGACAGTATTAGCAATACAAAGAATCGAAGGTCTGCCAGTTCAGGGTAGGAAATCCTCACTAAATCCATTCAGTGTAACTTGATTTGGCAATCTGACATTACTGCAAAAAGTCAGAAAATGTATTCAGCCTGGCTTTTTTAAAACACACAGTGACAACTGCGGGCAGCGGAGAATTTAAGATGATCAATCTATTTCTGCCTTATGTACAAGTCTTTATTTAAATTCATCCCCGGCACTGTCATGTTCAAAGAACTTCAGCAATTAGCACAAGTGCATTGTTTGCTTCACAGAAATTATGGCATGATTTGTGCAGGATTAAACAGTTTTTATTGTGAATCAAATAATATATCTAGAAAATTATATTACATTAGATGCTGTCAAGATGGTGTCATTACTGTCTTAGATATTCAGTTCGCCTTATCAGTGCTCTGAGAGGCTGTCCGGAGTGAAGGGTGCTATATAAATCCAAGTTGTTGTTGTTATGAACAGGAACCATTAGACTGAGATTTGTGCCCTGTGTAGAGATAATGAGCACACATGTAAAATGGGCTTCACTTCATAGCTGTTTGTTGGACA